CTATTCAAGCAGCGGCAGGAGATTCCTGTTTAGTGTGGATGGGGGAACCAATCGATTTTGGGGCGTGGTCATGACAATGGGGTAAAGGGGGCGGGTCCAGGACGTCCTCTGCATACAAATCCTGCTTGAACGAGGCCACAAAACACTTCCTGGCAGGATCCACAGGTAATAAAACTATGTGATGGGGGAGTCAGGAAAACAAAGACTGGTCAGCTGCCATGTATTTTCAGGGTACAAATACTCTGTCTCCGCCCCCTCCAGTAATAAAGACCGGTGACAGCTGCTCTCTCTTCTTGTGCAGGGTGACTGGTCTTGTCTCCGCCCCCTCCTGTTTTAAAGACCGCTCACTGCTGCTCTCTCTTCTTATGCAGGGTGACTGGTCTTGTCTCCGCCCCCTTCCTGTAATAAAGACCGGTTACGTCTGCTCTCTCTCCTTGTGCAGGGTGACTGGTCTTGTCTCCGCCCCCTCCTGTAATAAAGACCGCTCACTGCTGCTCTCTCTCCTTGTGCAGGGTGACTGGTCTTGTCTCCGCCCCCTCCTGTAATAAAGACTGCTCACTGCTGCTCTCTCTCCTTGTGCAGGGTGACTGGTCTTGTCTCCGCCCCCTCCTGTAATAAAGACTGCTCACTGCTGCTCTCTCTCCTTGTGCAGGGTGACTGGTCTTGTCTCCGCCCCCTCCTGTAATAAAGACCGCTCCCTGCTGCTCTCTCTCCTTGTGCATGGGGACTGGTCTTGTCTCCGCCCCCTCCTGTAATAAAGACCGGTCACTGCTGCTCTCTCTCCTTGTGCAGGGTGACTGGTCTTGTCTCCGCCCCCTCCTGTAATAAAGACCGCTCACTGCTGCTCTCTCTCCTTGTGCAGGGTGACTGGTCTTGTCTCCGCCCCCTCCGGTAATAAAGACTGCTCCCTGCTGCTCTCTCTCTTTGTGCGGGGTGACTGGTCTTGTCTCCGCCCCCTCCTGTAATAAAGACCGCTCCCTGCTGCTCTCTCTCTTTGTGGTGCGGGTGACTGGTCTTGTCTCCGCCCCCTCCTGTAATAAAGACACACAACATCAAATATATAAATCATTTTCCTAAAATGTCGGGTTTACTTTCAGATAAATAAGGACAGGAAACAATTCATAGAATGTACATCAGATCCGAGGTGATAATCTACAATGTCACTACGATCAATATTCCAATACCGGTCATCAATAAATACAGATATTGGGAAATAATTCGATGTGCCTTCTATAGATCAATAAAAAAAATGTCATGTTTCCGATTGCGCTAAAAGCTGAACTCCAGGCAAACCGCCGAATACATAACAAGGGAGCCGGGAAGGGGGCAGGAGAAGCAGCAGACCGATGAGCTCATCTCTCTGCTCTCTCCTCCTGTCAGCATGCTTCGTGCACCGATTGCCTCCTTGTGCTGCTTCCATCTCCTCTCTCTGAGCTCTGCTGCACAGGCTGATACCAAGTCCATATATATACATAATTATTGGAGAGGTGCATTGTGGGTCCCTTTGATCTCTGCTTGGAGTTCAGCTCCCAAAAAGTAACCCCCCCCACCCCCGTCTTTAAAATGGTACGCTCCAATGGGAGGGCAGTGAAATAATACACTTTATATATATTTACATTTGTGGTACATACAGAGTATCGGGTGACGCATTTGATTTACAGCAGTCCTAAAGTAATACACAGACCCCTCCCCCTTCTGAAAACATCCATGGCCTGTCATTGGCGGACATCAATTCCGAGTCACGAATGTGCCGATTAGCAGTTCTGAAGTTACCGGCAGGTTCCGGCGGCCCAAATCAATACGTTTCAAATCCAATCGGTTGTCTGGCGCTGTTCCGGCACTTGGGCCCCGATGAAGGAGTTGTAAGTGTCCGTAACGTGTCGGCTGTTTGGCTTGATCTTCTCTCGGGTACAATTCAGACTTCATGGAGTTGTAGTAAATGAGGCGCTCATCTCCCCCGCCCCGTACTCTTCAGACTACCCCGGGGGAGGGGGACAATTGTTTGCAACATGCCTGTGGCCCTATGGTGATGGAAGTGGATGGAGCCAGAGGTGGGAACCATATACTAATACCCCCCATTACATAGGTCATGAGTAATACCCCCCATCAGCTAGGTCATGAGTAATACCCCCCATCAGCTAGGTCATGAGTAATACCCCCCATCAGCTAGGTCATGAGTAATACCCCCCATTACATAGGTCATGAGGAATACCCCCCAGCATCTAGGTCATGAGTAATACCCCCCATTACATAGGTCATAAGTAATACCCCCCATTACATAGGTCATGAGTAATACATTTGCATATGATACCCGTGTTTCGGATGTATAAACCCCCCTTCTTCAGGGCTTTGAAGCAGAGGTGTGTGCTCCTTGAAGAACCAGGTACTGTCCAGACTCCCGCTGGAATGATACTACAGTGAGATGATGATGTCACTGATCACTGTCCTTCT